ACTAGACTAGTTATCATGTTGTTAAAATCTATAAACTGATCTAAGTATAGGGTTATATATCATAGAGATAGATTGAATTCATTCAAAAACAAAAATCCAAATACTTTCCTGCATATTTTTTAAAGTTGAATTTACTACTTTAATGATATACTTATAAGCATACAGTATACATTAAATGAAGTTCTTTGCATCATGACACAACTTGCATATAACAATAACATATGGAAGTACTAAAAATATATTTAAATACATTTTTTTTCAGCAAAAAGATGAATTGGAAACAATGGCTATGTTTCGGATCATATGAGTATTTCGACCATATGCGTATGGTCCTGTTGATTAATACGATGAACGTTAAAAAGGTGTCTCATAAATTTAGAGTTTCTAAAAAAGATTATTTTTTTGCTTATTCAATCATATTGTAATCATTGTTACATAATAAATGAATTAAAATGAATTTTACTTACAAGTAAGAATTATAGGAAAATCATTTTCACATGGTCATTATTGATTTTAACTTACATTTGTACGAAATATCTAAATGAACTGTTAAGTCATTGAACCCTCTTTTTTTCTTTTTTTTCTTAATTTATTTTGGTGTCTTTGTAAAATTAAAACATCTGAAAAAATTCTAATTGTTTTAAGTTATTTTATGTGTTTTTGTTCATATGTTAACAAACTCACAACAAAAGATAAATCGTATGAATAGGAGAAAGTACACAATAATTAATTGAAAATAAGTTAAGAATAGAAGAAATTTTGTTTCAGAAATTATAAACTAAACACTAAGAAAAAGTAAAAAAAAAAGTCCATGCCAAAACGACAGTGGTTTCGCTTGCGGACAACAACAAAAAACGGTAATGATGAAATACCTATATGTTCTAAATACTCATATGGTCCGGCCCGTTCATAACCAAATGAGTATAATACTCATATGGTCCGGAACAGCTACCTCAAATACTTGGCAACATAAAAAAAAAATCAAAATCAACCAATAGAACTTATTATAGGAAATTGTCAAATCAGATGTAGTTTTTAATATACATGTAGCTCAATAGTCACTATTTCCAAGTAAAACTGCTTAGACTAATTTTTATCATGAGATGAAATCTTCAAACTCATTAAGTTAACATTATTCTATATTTGTTTCATGAAAAATTAAAAAAAGACAGACTTAAAGCTACCAGGAAAATATTCTATTTTGTGATTATTATTTTTTTTTTATCTTTTAATAATTATCTACTTTGTCTTGTTTTTCATAATATTACATAATTTCATTTGTTAGTGTACTTCGATATCGCATATTTTGCTTTTCATTACGATACTTAAAATGACGATGTACTTTCATTTTGGACCAACAAAACTCAAGTGCGCTAATACTATGCAGTTTAGTTCAAACATATTCTATTTGTAAAATATTACAAAATGGATTAGACACAAGTTAGTCCAACTTAGATCGTCTTCTCCTAAGATACAATATTAGTCAATAGAATTTCATAGCATGCAAGTATTCCATTTTATCATAACACAATATAATCAAAGATCTCTTATTTTAGAGACATTAAAAAAACAGCATAGAAAAAGGAAAGATAGGAAGAAACAAATAGATGCATGTGTGTGTGTGTGTGTGTGTGTGTGTGTGTGTGAGTGTGTGTGTGTGTGTGTGTGTGTGTGTGTGTGTGTGTGTGTGTGTGTGTGTGTGTGTGTGAGTGGAACACTACATTCAGCTTCTACACATGGTTGAACAAGTAACAATTTGGTCTTTTTTATATAGTCAAAAACATTTCAAAATATTTATTCATTTTGCTCATTTGTCAAATTTATAGTACCAAATGTTATAATCTCTAGATCATAAACAAGGCCACCCGGTAGCCAACTAAGACTATTCCTACAAATGTGACGTAAATTTGTAAATAAAAGACATTTAAAGAAGAAGTTATTAGAAATTTAAAGGGGAAAACCCACAGCGACCAAATGGATCTTATACATTATTCATTTGGATCAGATCAAAGTTAAGTGATGTAGCTGAACATCTTAACTGCGTAAAAATAATATTGAGATTGTTTGGACCAAATGCATTGTAAATAGGCACCGTTATATTTCAAACTCTAGATTTCTTTTTTAAATTATTTTTAAATTTTGATAAAGTTTCTATTTTTTTTTATCGCACTATGCAGTAAACCTATGCCAATTGTTTCCTACCCATGTGACAGCCTTATGATAAAAGTCCATTATCAGTGCTTATTTCTACTCAAACATTTTCGTAAGAAAAGAATTACTTTGGGAAAATATTTCATAAGTTGAGATAGTTTCTTTATCCTATAGTTTTGAACTTGATAAAATAACCTCAGCCTTACTGTTCACCATAAATAAAATTGAGAATTGAAACGGAGAATACGTTAAAGAGACAACAACCCGACCAAACGGAATTCGGATCAACAGATATTTAATTCTTAATTTTACAAAGAAATAAGAAATTATACATTCTGAACTGACATTTATATTTTAATGTTATACTATGGCTAATGAGACACTATCAACCAGAGACCAAAGGAGGTCATTGTACGGTTTTTAAACAGTGACCAATGCAAAACCCATAACTAAAAGTAATTTATTACAAGTTTCTGACAAACTGTGAAACAATTCAAAGACTAAATGCAATGGCATGACTTATTGTATAGACATGTATAGAAACCGAAAAATATGGAAAACAATTTTTCGTCCTCATATCAAACAAATACACTTTTGTTTTGTCCTTAACAATTGAAACTACTGTGCTATAATTGACAATGTGCTAAAGATAGTTTAATTAGAAATAGAATAATAAAACACCAAACACAAAAAAAGTAGTTCTATATCGAAACGTAGAAAAACATTATAATACAAGTTTCTGTTGTATAAAAAATGATGTGTTTGTTTTGAATTATCTCAGATTATTCACTTATTATTCTTATTAAAAGAAATGAATATAAGTTTTATATTACTTAATTGTTTACTGTCAACAATAACCATGTCTACACTCTAGCACTTTCGAATCTTCTAATTGCACGTGTTATAAACAAATTTTTAATGTCACTTGGCGAATACGTGATCAATTTTTGATTGTTATATTTGAAATCGAAACTTCACATTTCCACCATTTTAGCGAAGCAAAAGTTGAGTGGCAATGCGAATTATTTATTTTAAATGATACTACATCACTTAATTAGATTAAATATTGATTTTATATTGATCTATATTGTAATGGACATAGCAATTCAGACGAAAATTATTGATAACTGTAACGTCCAGCGGCAAATTCAATCAATATTTTGGACGAAACCACGTCATTGCGATACGAAACCGACATATTAAGCCAGGTTTTAATAAAAACTAACATAAAATATATTACGGCATTATATTTCAGAAAAAAAATTTAAAACAAGTTAAGCAGATAATGCATTCTTCATTTCCATACCAGCTTTTATTTAAAGTTCAATTAAAGACTCGGAAGTCGTCAACAATTTAGACCTCATACGAACTTAAATGGAAGGACACCTTTACAAACAGGTATTTCTGACTGATCGTCAGGTTATACGTAAACTTGACGTTTTACACGAGTAATTGCACATATGAATAATTTATGAAATCAAAATCAACATATTTGATAAATATAATGCTAAAGCAGAAATGCATTTTTTATCCGGCTTTAGATCTGAATAAGTTATAGAATATTGGCAATTGTGGAAAATTGCTGTTCATATATCGACAGGTATATCAAGTGAACCACGTACAAGTATATACGATCAAATAAAGTATATAGAAATTACTTTCTAACGATATTACAAATTCCAAACAACTTGTTTTTATGATTTTGATGATAGTCTAGAATAACGACGACAATATTGACACAGTCGGAATAAAGTAATAATAAGCATGTTAACCAGTTGGTGTCTTCAATTAACCATCAAAAAGATATGAAAGCTTCTGACAATACAAAATAAATTCCTTTGAGCAAATATGTATGCATTGTGACTGGTGTATTATATTTTTTAAAAAGCTTAATGAAACAAAACTCGTTAACGTACAGAATAACAAAGTTAATGTTTAAGTAATGGTGGATTTTGTTGTTTTATTTAGATCTAAAATAAAAGAACAAAATTGGAAAATATTGAACATATCTTAACTCAAAATGGATAACCGTTTTACAAACAAATTGTTCAAATAAACGGTAGCTATGCATTAAAGCATGATGTTTCAAAAATTCATCCTTTCAAAATTTAAGCTAACAACAACTGCATTTTGAGTTAACATCAAAATGTTTAAAATATGTTAAAAATTTACTAATTGTAGAAATTATTGTTCAAATCTGAACATTTATAAATTAAGGTATTTACATATAGGAATTTTGAATAGAAGGAACAGATATATGCATTCAAAAATTGTGAATTGTTTGGCCAGCATCTAAATGATAATGAAAATCATAATTTTTCAGTAAATTCGTTGTTATTTCGTCACATAATCGATGGAAAATAACTTCCAACTAACTTCTTTACATATTTCATAATTATTACAAAAATGAAGTTCACTTCTATAATTCGAATTTAGACGGTATCGCTGGCAGACCAGGAATAAGTACTTGTGCGCTTTGGTGGCCGGTCAATATTATATAACAATTAATAAGATATATTTATAGCTACTATCAATTTCGTGAAAGATTAAACCAATAAACCATTACTTTTTCACAAGTATCAAGTATAAAGCAAAACAGATGTGTATTTTACAACATAAAATTCCCAAAAAGAATATTTGTTTCTAACGTCAGTACCTAGAATCTATACTTCAAGACCATCATGTATTATTTGTGAAGTTGTTACGGAATATTTATCAACAAGGTCTTGGTATCTTCCGATGAACTTTTTTCGAAAATACACGACACGTTCTCAGACACTGGTTACGTTTTATAAAGTCTGAGTAGCAGCTGCAACCTGTTGAATACCGAATGAGTAGTAATGATGTATATCCAATATGCAAGTGAAGTTTTTATATTGCTACTAAGGTGGGGAAATTGATAATTTGAAAAAATTGAAATCGTCTCGTTTGTCATATATTTTGGTAGTGAGATGACCGCTTATGTCAAATTCGAGTTATAAGTCTAAAAATAAGGCGCATGAAGCTGTGTCTGTTGTTTCTTTAATTTCTTGTTCTGGAGGATATATTAATGGTCTTTTTGTTTTTGACAATCGTCTAAAGGGAACTCCGACTCATATGAAAATAAGAAGAGGTCGGCAACCAGAGGCGCACAGTTCGTTCCCATAGGAATACCGACAATTTGTTGAAAAAGATTACCTCCAAATTCAGCAAATATTTTGTTCATGTTGTCTATAATAAATTCCAGTATACCGATCACTTGTTCTTCTGCGTAGCATGTTTTATCTTTCTGTTCAATATTAACAAAATATGCCGTATAGTATCTTAAAATTATAACTTTATAGCGTATGCTACCATTTTTATATTGAAAAGCCTTGTGGATTATTTCTTTTAGACGATTTTTCAATTTCACATGGTGAATTTTGGTATACAGGGTTGAAAAATCAGAAGTTTTGATAGAATTATTTTCAGAAATAGATCGAAATTTATAATTATCCAGAAGTTCTCTAGAGTTTCTAAGAATCCACATGTGTTTAATACCACTACGCGAGTAAACAGTTTCACAGTATTTCTGAAGAACCTCTTTCAGTGCGGACAAAATTTTTGTCAATCTAATGGACATTTAGAACATGCAGATGAGCTGGCAATGTATCGTTGTGTGTACGGAATTTTGTGAATCTTAGGTATCCAATACAAACAAGGTAAGTCCTCAGATTTTATGTTTAATGTAAGCCATGGAAGCCATGAAGGACTCATGATTCGCCATAATCTTATCCTTGGCAAATATAGGCAACAGTAGTATACCGCTGTTCAAAAGTCATAAATTGATTGAGAGAAAACAAATCCGGTTCACAAACTAAAACCGAGGGAAACACATCAACTATAAGAGGAAAACAACGGAACAACAGAAACACTGAAGTGCAACAAAAACAAACGCAAACATACATAGAAACGAACTTTTTGATAACAACTGCCAAATGATATGTTTTTGTATGTTGGATTACCTGAATGCTCATTTATTCCTAATTCTTTTACTCGTAGTAGTACGATTTACATACAAATACCGTATCATTTGAATCTTTGTCCGCAGGAACAACAACATATTTATCGCGAAATGATGATAGACATTTCACAGCTTTTTTGTCTCTGAAAACGGACTTTGGTCGATCATTCACACAGTTTTTCAACTTATGAATTTGACGTTTTATCAGAGACCTGATTGTTTCGACCCACTCTGACAAAGTTTCCAGTTCAACTTCATCGTTTAGCATATGCGCTGTCGTAGTCCTCAATGGAATCCAATATGGTTCCAATTGATGTGTTGGGGTTCTTAGGACCATGAGATATCACCTTTCGGTATGTTCATGTTGAATTATGTTTAGATCTCCAGTAATAACATGGCCTGATGGGCTGTAAATAAAGGCGAGTTTAAAAAGTCACGTGTTTTTTATGTATTAAATGGCTTTCATAGGGTCTATGCAACTTGCGGTGTCAATAAGATTTGTATTCATTTATTAAAAACTCTAAAGATTTACTGCAAAATTGTCATTCACAAACGTCATACTGTTGCAGTCATATTAATACCTTTGATTTTTATACGCTTTTTAAAGCTTTTTTCCAATGTTGAACTGAAAGATTGAATACATTGTCACATATACATAGTTTTTCTATAAAAAAGAATATACATTCGTTGTTTTGGTCATAAAAAGTCTCTGTGAAGAACAAATTGTCTTTTTATTTCCTTTCCAGATATTGAAGATGTCCAGTCACTCAATACCAAACATTTCAATGAGTGCTTACATCAATTATATACCACTGAATATGATATTAAGAGTTATGATAAAGAACTACGACATCAATACCAAATAATGTTTTACAGTCACCAACAGGTATTTCCATTGAAAATATGCAAACATTATATTGCAGACAAACAAAAGTAATACCAATCGGGCAGCTATATGTTGTCTTTTAGTAATAAATTGAAAGGTTTGAAAAACTTTTATTAAAATAGATAAATCAATGTCTCAAAAAATAAAATAAAATAAAAAATAAAAAATAACACACTAAATCATTGTTAATTTTACAAAAAGTTTAATTTATCTTACAATACAGGAAAATATCCGTAAAGTCGACAATACAGACTTAATCTAAATGCCAAAATCATCAACCCTGTCACCAGCAGAATATTTGAATATAATGCGTACAAATATATCAATGCATTGTAACAGAATTGGGAAAATCAGAACTATACTTTGATTTATAGAAAGCGTATTACCGACTTCAAAGGTAAACTCAAAAAGGCCGAAGTCTATTTGACCTGACAAAATCAAATTCTCGACGATTTGAACCAACGGCAGGAATGGTAAACAACTATTGTATTTCTTATAAGTGAGAGGTTTGGCTAGCTTAAAAACCAGGTTTGATCCACCATTTTCTACATAAGAAAATGCCTGTACCAAGTCAGGAATATGACAGTTGTTATCCATTCGTTTAATGTCTTTGAGCTTTTGATTTTGCCATTTGATTAGGGACTTTCCTTTTTGAATTTTCCTTGGAGTTTTTTTTTTGTATTTTTTTGTTATTTTATTTTGTTCTACTATAGAAAGAATGGTGATAAAAAAAACTATAGAAAGATGTTTAGTCTTGACGACCAAGCAATATATTTTTGTTCAGTATTTTTGTGATTTCACTTTTTACTTGGTACAAAGAACACTGATGTTCCGCACGGTATTGGTGTCTCAAAAAATGCGACAGATAACGGGTTAATCCAATTCAAGCTCTTTTCCTCCACAATAAATAGCCATGTTCTGCATATCATTCGAAAGGAAATAACATGTAAAAACATTTTTGTTTATTTCGATGCCCATAACGTCATTTAAAGGGTGTCCCGCTGTTACAATTTTGTTTTATGTTGGTCTTTGAAATCACAGTGCGGATTAGTTAGTAATTTAAATGTGACAAAATTTTACAACAGGGTTGTATACTATTGACGAAAAATGTCATAGACGATTTTACCTGTGAGGGAAAGAAGATTGTCAGAAGCGCCGAGATAAGGAAGAGAAAAAATGTCCCATATAGCTGCTCAGCTCCTATGTAAGTGGCTTTTTATGATATCAGAAAATATACACATGTCCTAAAGAACGTATTTGAAGTCATCAATATATAAATGCGGTCTTACTTTAAAAACTTCGTCAGTCTTTCCGTATCCAATAAAATGTTCCGTTGGACAAAATGACACATAACATAATTCGGAGGCTGTTTTTTGAACAAAATTTTATTGATCTCCAATTTTTAGCACCTTTTAACTGATATAAATAGAAAATACATTTAATTTTCACCAAAATGATATGATATATAATTTTGTTTGAGTTGCAAGTAGAAAATGCGAAACGATCTAAGATGTCCAATGACATGTCCCCATAACTGTAATTTAACGTTCGCGTAATGATAACGATAAACTGTACATGACTTTTATTGCATAATTGACATACAATTATTTTCATAAAGTAGTCTGATCTATATTAAATAAAGTTCTTGTTTATATGCTACTAAGAAGATCTGCATTGTATAAATAATTTAAGATGACGTATTATATAACTCGGATACTCAGTGATAAAGACCAGGGCACTCGATCATAAAACTTAAATCGGAGTACACATTTTGTGCTCGGAACATCACATTCTGTATTTGGTTGGTTGATTTATCAGTCTGAGTACGATAACCGTGCTTCGGGGCCATAAAAGCGAGACAAGTTTACATATGGCCACAGTCTCATAAAATTATTTGTAAAATGAGTCGCTGGATTTTACTGTTTACTATGAAAAACAAGGTTATTACTTCTAGAAGAATGGAGTTTGTTGTCTCGAATCTCCAACGGAATTGCCCGCTACATAGGCATGCGATTCGACGAGATTAAAAATTTTACTTGAAACTTTTCTTTTACATTAACTTGAGAGAGAGAAAAGCAAATATATGTGTTACGGTAATAGTTGTCCGTTCGACAAATATGATGAATTGCGCACAGACATTTGGCAGGCTGCTGTGTATCAATTTACAGAAACACCGAAGTACATTTTAACCTAGTTTTAGCTCCGTTTTAAAAAAAAAAGTCACCATGCACTCTACACCTTATCTTTCGAAAATACATTCAGTCCATATTTTATAAAGCGTATATTAAACTGGAAGTTCAATATTCTTTGCATGTATTACCAATCGATAGAAAAAGTTCGAGATAGCAAAAAGTAATAAATATACTATATTGAACACACAGTATGTATAATAAATTGACATCATATTTTGCACTTTTTTACCACAAAATCAACCACAAAATATCTCCTTTGTGGGTTCGATGGTTCTCTCCCAGAACTCCGGCTTCCTCCACCAATTTAAACTGACCGACACGAAATATCCAATAGTGCTAAATGTGGCGTTAACAACCAAAAACAATCAATCAACCAATTTGCTGAGTGGAAATATTCAATTTTAATGTATAATAGATTTTTCTTTTTATTTTCGCAGAACGTCACGAAACATGACTGAAATATTGAAATATTAGTGTAAGCCGATACCCGATTATTTTTTTTTTTTTAATTGGAAGCGCGAAAACAAAAATGATTTAAAGTATAAACGTACCTTCCTGGTCCATAGTTCTTCCTTCAAGACAAAAAAATGATCCATGTACATTTACGAAATCAGTAACTTAAAAAGTATATATCTATTCACAAAACAATAGGTATTCTTTTAAATCGGATTTCGGCCTGTTGTAAATTAAATAGTTGTAAGGTAAATTTTGGTCTATATAAAAAGGGGTAGAGTTTTCCATACTTTTCCAAAATGCTATAATTTCAAAAACATAATAAAAAATATTGATCGCAAACCTGTTTTAAAGCTTAAGTTTGTGAAATTATCAGATTTTGTAAGGATTATACATGGAAAAGGTATATTTATGTGAATAAAATATGAAAAGAAATTAAACGATAGAGTTTTAGAGTTATAATTATTTGTCAGATAAACCAATCATGATTTAAAAATTCTAATCATTTGAAAACATTTTCTTTTTAAATGAAAAAAAGATGTAACCAAACTCATTATCATTTTGTTTTAATTGAAATGAAAAGCTCACAAATTTATTTC